CACCTTCTATTTTATGCACGTGCTGCCTCGTACAAACACGTCTGCGCCCACAGATCCACTTTCTCAGCGTTATAAACCTGAGCAGCTCCATCCACACAGCCCTGCACACAGCCCAAATTGAAGCCCTCCTTGCTGCTCCGCGGGGTGACCAACATCGAGTGTCTCACCCGGCATGGGTGAAATCAGGCTTTTTCAACGCTGCTGTGCAAACCTGCGGTCCCCAGCAGCCGAGACCTGAGGATTTTGACACACAGATGCCAGCAAGAGCATCACTGAAGAACAGCATTAGGAGGAGGAAATGGTGGTGTCAAAGGTTTGGGCTGGACTGGCCACTGAAGGACTGATAGATGCTCTCTAATAACCCTCTTCCCCCTCCCCAAACAGGAAGGGAAAAGAGAATGAGGCAGAGAGACTTACGGATTGGAAAAGAAAACTAAAATAGCTTTAATGACACAATAATAGTACTAATAAGAAAATAAGAAAATAACTTCCCGCCCATTTAACTATCATATTTTCAACACGCACAGTTAAAGCAGTTGGGTCCTATCTGTGCTCTCGATTACACAAGCAAAGAGTTGCTCACGCTGATGCATCTCCCTGGCCTGAATGAACTATGCTGATGTGTAAGAGCATCCGAACCACACGAATTAACTCGCTGGTCCAGAAGCAGGCATGTTGCTCAGCTGGAACAAGCCATGCACTGAAAGCTCCTGGGATCAAAAAAAGTTTGTGGGATCAAAAATGTCCAATGGGAACTAATCAGCTCTTTCTTCGTTGGAAGCCGCTCGTTGTCCTGCCAGCAGCCAGAGACAGGCCATGGAGAGAGGAGAAAGGTGGCAAAGACTCTGCTGAGGCTTTCCATCGTGTCCCTCCATGGACCAGGCACCAGGTCACATCCCTGCTCCTGACAAGCCAAGAGACAACGGTTCCTGGCTGCTCCCATGCCCAGCTACCTGGCAAGGCATCTCCTGTGGTTATGCGCCCGCGCCGTGGGATAACAACACGTTGCAGGGCATTCCCAGGCACAGTTAATTTGTGTTTATAAAGCGCCCGTGGACTCTTACTGACAGCCTTGATGCCAAACACAACCAACCTCGTTCCCATCCAGCTGCACAAGGAAGTTCCCAACCGTTACCTTTCCTGGGGTTACTTCTCACAAAGACCTGAATAAATGCCTTTTCTTACTGGTTTTGTGGGTGTTTTCCTTTCTTTTAACAGCACCATTGCATTTTTACTCATCTGTCACAGTCCATCATAGGGTCAGTAATCTGCCCACTCCTTTTTTGTATTACTTAATTCCTTGTCTTCGTCTGGGGAGAGGAGTGAGGGGGAAGAAAGAAAGAAAACTGACAGGGCTGAGGAATGATGCTCTGCTGACTTCAGGAGACACAACAGATCCCTCACTCATCTCAGGGGTCAAATGTCTGTGATGGTTTGATCAGATGTCAAATTGCATTTATCCCCTGGCCCCTGTCGGGGCTTGAATTACATTTCACATTTGACTCACTTCTGGGGTCAAGTGTCCCTCCTGTTTGATGGAACAAGAGGAATTATCTTCCCCAAGTCGGCTGGGAGGGCGTGCGTCTGGATCTGTCGGCGCTCTCATTATGTTTTAGGCTCCTGTATTTCTGCGTTTCATTCTCAGCTGAAACCAGGCCCTTTCAGGGGGATGACGAGCAAGGCAGCCGATGGCACATAAGCAACCCCATGGAGTACGATGAGGGGAAGGAGCAGATCGGCTGGCTTCCAGATCTTTGGCAGAGTGTTCTGGATTGTTTTCTTGAGGGGCTGTGGGTGTTCATGGGGTTTTTTAGTTCTTCCCCCCAAGGCAGCAGCTCTGCAGGGTAGGGAATCACAGAATCATAGAATGGCCTAGGCTGGAAGAGTCCTTAGAGATCATCTAGTCCAACCTCCCTGTCACGGGCAGGGACGCCTCTCAACTAGATCAGGCTGATCAAAGCCTCCGTCCACCCTGGCCTTGACCCTCTCCAGGGAGGGGGCAGCCCCAGCCTCTCTAGGCAATTTATTCCAAAGTCTTGCCACCCTCGTACTGAAGAATTTCTTCCTAAGGTCCAATCTAAACCTATTCTGCTTCAACTTAAACCCATTTCCCCTTGTCCTATCAGTGGACACTCTTGTAAAAAGTCCCTCCCCAGCCTTCCTGTAGGTTCTCTTCAGGTATTGGAAGGCAGCTATTAGGTCCCCCTGAATGATGAAGCAGGGGCGAGTGGACCCCGGTCCTGGCTTTCCCACCCTCTTGCCGTGAGACAACTGCAGAAGCATCTTGGGATCCAAAATTGTACAAGGGGCTGAGATAGGGCTGATGTTCAAGGTGCTGTGGGATCACGATGCTGTCCAAGGATTGCTCAGCACAGGAGCTGCCCTGGCCCCACCGTTCCAGTTGTAAAAGGAGAATACTCTTCTCTGTGTGATGGGAAAGGATGACTCAAGAGCTTAAGCAGTTGCTGGATCCCCAGGCAGAAAGTGTAAAGCCTTGCACTGACAGGCAAGAACCCATGCAAACCCCCCTGGGGTGATGAGGCAGGTGATAAACTGAATTCAGGTTACTGCGTAACTCCTTCTAGGTATTTTGAAAGAAAAAAATCACAAGATGATACAGAATTTCCTAGAATAAAGACTATCAGAATTCTTTCATCTGTGGACCCCTAAAAGATTTCCACCTGAAATGAGGCCACACACCCTGATGAATTTCTTGTTCTTCCAGCCCTTCCCACCCACCTCGAAGTGTGGAAGGGGCTGGAAGTCCTCAGGTAGATCTGGGGGACTTCATCGTGATGGTCTCAGGCCATCCTGAGCATGCTGGTACCAGGGGAGCTCAGTCATGTGGGGCAAAACTGTGGGAAAATAAGCCAGCGTGCCTTAAAATCAGCAACATGAAGCTGAAATCTCCCATCCTTCATGCTGGACGTCCCAGCCTGAGCTGAGCTCAACGTGAAGCTGCATCTGCTGTGGAGATGCCTGATGGGGCCCAGAGGAGTCAGTTTAAGACAAAAAGCGGGGGGAAAGAACGCAAAAGAACCCACAGGGCTCATCTATTACAGCACGGTGGCTTCAGTAATTAGCGTGCATGATTTATCTTTGTCCCCAAGGACCGAGTGACAGCCCCCGGGGTGCTGCACAGGCGTCCAGGGCCGGTGATTTAGCAGCCTCTCCAGTGAGATTGTGAAACCACCACTCCTGCTGTTTAATGTACTCGTTCAGGTTACAACAGGTTTAGCAAACAATAAAAAAACATCTGGAGTGCCCGTTTAAATAGAAGAGTTGTGTTATTGGTAATAAAGTCATGACTGGTGCTATAAAGTGCTCTCCGGTAAACAAGCGCTGATGTGCAGGTAAACAAAGGGAGACGACAAACTGATGAGGAGGAGGGAGGAAGGCTGCTTCCTCCTCGGCCAAAGCTCATGCTGGGTGTGAACCACCACTAACTCCCTCATAGGGCATGAACTGGGACCCTGGCCTTCCCTCCCTGCTCCCCTCCTGTCACCCCAGGCGAGGTTATGGGGGGACACTACAGCATCCCTTGGGGACACCCACCACAGCAGAGTCGCGGGTGCCACCTCACATCCTTGCACCCCTCGGTCCCATTCGCGGCACCTCTCTGACTGCCCTGAGCACAGCGGCACAGGGAGGGGAACTGGAGACGCAAGATGAGACAAACCTTCCCATCTACTTTCCACACCAGCCCCGACTCCCCATAGAGCTTTTGCTCCAGGAGATAAAGCAGCAGCACAAACCCCACCCCTGTAACTGGGGGTACCTACCCCCTGCGAGACGTCTTTGAAAGGCAGAGTAGCAATGACCCTCCTGAGCAACAAGCCAACGCGCTGCCCCGCTCTGAGGCAGCGAACAACAGGTTTTCAGCCTGTTTTCAGTCTAATACTGCTGGTATGAGGTACGTACACCACGGGTGAGTCGCTCGCCTTGCAATTCGTGGCCACGATGCAGTGAGCAACCCAGCGGCCGGAGCATGCCGTGACTTCACCCCAGGCCACCCAGACCAGGCAATAGCAAGCCAACAGCATCTCAGGCTGGATGGAAATCCTGACACACCCACTCTTCCAATTTCACACCGCATCGCCTTCGCACAACACAATCCTGCACCTGTCTGTGGTCAACAGGGCCCCACAACACAACAGTCCAAAAAAACGGAATGCTGAAAAGTATTAGCAAAGAACTTGCACCTTCCCTCAGAAAGCAGCTGGATGGGATGAGATGTTTTGCCCTGCAGGTGCAGCATCAGGCACCCCAAAAACGATCGCCCCAGCATGCCCTAGTCATGCCATCGCACCGCAGGAGGATGCAAATGGGACCATCTCTCATCTCCTGGTCAGGAGGACAGGTAAACGCATGCTGAAGTCCTCCCCTTGCAGCAGGACCTATGCTTTAACTTCATATATATGTTTAGGGCTCCATTGAATGGATGTGTCTGCTTCATACGTATCTGAGCCCAGAGAGAGCCCTGAAGGCTCAGGCACCTGTGAGACATGAATACTTCTATTCTGGTCCTCCACATGTGGGTTTATAGCTCCAAAACAGGAAACCTTTGATTCCATTTCCCCGTGAGGTGGCTAACTGTTAATCTATTTAGCTACAGGAAACACTATGTGAGGGAAGGAGACACCTGAACTACACACCATGCTTGGAAACCTCACCACATCCAGGAACACCAATGGCATCTTCATTTTGAATGGGGGGCGCTGAAGTAAAGCATTTCAGCCTTGCTGGCGAGCCATGGCGAAGCCAAGCTCAGGCGATACACGGCAGCACCAGCACACAAGCGCATCCCGCTCCCCACACTGAGTGCACCCTCCCCTGCTTCTCAGCAGCAGCTGGGGTGACAGCTCTGACCTCCTCCATGGATCCTCCCGATGTCCCCAGAGTGCAGACTCACAGAGAATTACTAGAATTGGTGTCCAGGCACAACCTAAGTCCCCTAGGAAATCTTGCCACACTGCTCACCCAAGCAAATCGACGCTTACCTGACTTGCTGATAGAAACTCCTGGGCGTTGTCGTTCATTCCCACGTACATGTTCTCCCCATCAAACTAGAAAAACAAATGAAAATTAGAGTTAGCGAAATTCCATCTGCACACCAGGGTTATGCGCATCCCAGGTACTTTGCTGGCTCTTCACGTAAGGAGCCAAAACCCCCAGAAGAAAATCCTGAGCTGTGCAAAACCACAGATGTACCCAGCAGTGATCACCCAAATGAAGTTCTAGACATGCCCACTAGATCATCAATCAGCTTTAAAAAGCCAGCCTCCATCAACGGACATTTCCAAGACAGGTAGGTCCCATTCAATCCTCTTCCAGACACTCCTTAACTGTCACAGCAAAACTACAGCAGCGATGCAGAAAAAAACCACCCTGGACCACAATACGCCAGGGGGTCTCTATGCAAAGCCCAATTCCCCATCTGGACAGTTTGCTGTTTGTTTGCAAACTCTGGCTGCAAGGAGAGATTTTTTTTTCCCCCATCTCCTCTTCCCTTGGCTGCTCTGCCCAGACTCTACCTCCGTGGCTGGGCAGGCTGAGCGCCGCAAACTTGCCTGCAAACCTGCCTGTCCCCTTTACCCTGTTCCGAGCTGCTAATCCACTTACTAGGGTACAAAACCTCCGTGGAGAACTGCAAAACTCTCCCCGTTAATTAGCTACGATGGGAGCTTTTCACTTGGTCCGATTCCAAACGAAGGAAGAAAGCCCTCCAGGATTGCCTCTGGCTCGAAGTACGGCTGGGGCAGTTCTCAGGGCTAAGTTCACAAATTAATTACAGCAATAAAACAGGCTACGCCATAAAACACTCCCGAGACAAGGATGAAGGTACCAGCTGTGAATGACTTAACAAGGGGAAGAGCCAACCCTCTTGCCCTTACAAGCCAGATGATGAATTGAAGATTATTCAACCCCTTGCATGTCCTATCGCTCCCTGACACGAAGCTGATACCGGTTATGCCTTAATGGAAATTGGCTGCATTAAGACCGATAAAAGAAAAATCTAAATAAAACCAGGTGAAGATTTTAAGTGTAGGCTATTAATTACACTTGCATTTCTCAGAGTGCTACAGGATTAGCTGTTAAAGTCAGCAGAGTTAGTAAAGCCAAGCGGGGCTAATACAGCTCTACTTAGCGTCAGACACCCTCTAATTGCCAAACCGTCCTCTGGGACAGCAGCGCGAACCAATTAAAAGCAGTAAAATTAGAGCGGGTCTGGTGACGCTCATTAACTGACACCGTTAGCAGCCGCAGCAGGGTGGAAGGGGATCCCTGTGAAAACGCAGGATTTCATTAAACCCGCCAGCGAGGCAGGAGCCGCGGGATGTGGCGAGCTCGCATCAGCAGCCCCACGGGCTTGCTGGGACAAGCAGCTCTCCCAGAAGCCGACCGGGTGTTGTCCACTTGAAACTGAATTTCCCTCCACCTGTAAAACGAAGGCCAGCACAGCCAGCTCCCCCTAATGTGGTTTCAGCTGGAGCTGCCGTGTGTCCAGGCATCAAGACTCCATCAGCTCTACCTAAATACCCTCCGTCAACCCAGCCGAGCCTGGAGGAGAAGAGTGAACGCGCAGAAGAGGTGGCACGGGCTGGAGATGCTCAGCCCTGTGGGACCCAGGCAGGAGGAGCCGCTCTCTGACACGACCCGGGCAGCAGCATGGTTTGGAGGAGTCAATCTTTTCAGAATAGGAGAAATTATGGCACTGAGGTCCCAACTCCCAAGCTCTTCTTGGGACCACCCTGCCAAACCACCATCAGGCGGATCCTGGAGCAGACAGCCCAGGGCTGTACACCTTCCCAGCAGCTGGATCTGCAGTGCCAGAGCTCAGCGTCAGACACTCTGCCAGATGCTGGGAAGCTCTTGCATCTTCAGATTGCCCCCCGAGATGCTTCAGGTGAGCTGCACAAGAGCTTTGCAGCAAGCAGCCCTGATAAGAGAGACAGTATTCCAGTGGGGAGAGAGTTCTGTCCATCCCTGGAACTGGTCGGGAATTTGCACTGTATTTCCTTCCACATCAGCAAAAGAGCAGCTCTGTCCCAAATAAAAGCCTTGTCCCTCTGAGAGATTTAAAGACACAGGTGGTGCACATGGTCCACCCCCTTCCTTACAAACACCTTGCTCTGGATTTCACAGATCTGTTTGTTTGAAAGAGCTCTTCTCTCTCCAGAAAACAAAAGTCACCTGGAAGCATACATTCGGAAAACCAAGTCCCTCTTTCACTGGGGAGGCTCCAGGTTAGGACAAGAACTCTGTTTTCTCTATACCATTCTGTTTGTCAGAACGTTGCTTTCTGGTTTTTTTTATATAGCTTCCTACTATTCCCCTACCTCCACTCCGCTCTCATTTCTGCCCTTGCTGCCTTCATAATAACTTGAATGAATCCTGCCTTCCAAATTACAATTCCTCTGATTGCCAGTCTGAGCAGTGAGCCTGAAAATCAAAACTCAAAATGCAATGGAAACTTTGGAACTTCTCTACTGCTGATTGCATTTCCCCCCTCCCCTCTCCTCCAGGCTATAAGGTGCAAACAAATTTATTAGAAATTCTCCCATCAGGATATTTTTTCAATTAGACATTTGCCACTTATACACCAGCCAGGTAGAGCAGATAAGTAATGTGTTCTCTCTCTTCTCATTATTGTTTCGCTACAGAATGCACTTCAAAACAATCAGCCCCATCATTCCAGCTAGATTTATGGCATAATAGACATTTTAATATTTTCCCTTTGGTTACAAACGCTTCCTCACTTTTCCCTTTGGTCTAACTCCTAGTGTGTGTTGAGCTTTCCAGGCAGTTCCAGACCTGGGTGTACCCATCCATCACCCTCTGTGCGCCCCAAATCGATCCAGCCCGTATTGGACGATGTGCACATACGGAACGGCGCCTATCATTTTCAAGTCCTAACGTGAAAGGCACATAACTCTCATGCAGTTGTCTCAATCATCCTTTTGCTCTTCTCTAATTATTTAATTTTCGTTATTCTTGGGCTAATAGAAGCAGCCTATTAAGCAAATCGGTGGCTAATTCTCACCCTCTCCTGCATGAAATGAGTCAAGATCGCTCTCAGCTCGTCATGCTTTACAATCACGACACGGTGTTCACTTGAAGACCTGGGAAACACAAACCCTGTGTAGCCAAACTGGAAAAAAAATTAATCGCATCTTCTTGCCTCTCCCACTTCACCAAAGCCCGACTCAGCCTTGTCTCACGTAACGTGCTCAGGACAGAAATTACTCTACTCACCAGATTATTAAAAAAACCCCAAACCCTTAGAGAAAACTGCCAAAAACCCTACCAACTCTGGCAATGCTGTCAAACCAACGCCAGCAAGCTGCCTTCATCTGCAGGTGACACGAACTCCAACCCAAAGGGTGGGGAGCACCCATCTTGTGCCACACGAGGTGGTTTGCCCGGCACCGATGGACAAGCTCGATGATGCTCTCAAGCCCACCCGACAGGGAGTCCCAAGGAAATTAAGGCGATGGACCCAGACCTGTTCTTCCACACACTGCCTCTCCACGGGCCACACTACTCTGTACTTTAGGTCTAAGCAAAAGATACGATGACAGCTCTATTCTGTGGGAAAACACCACCTGAAATTCAGATTTTCATGGAAAATTTACTTAATAATACAATGCTTTTACTGCAGCCCTTGGAGGGAGCTGCAGCTGGCACCGCTGAGAGTTGAGCCCATGCAGAGAGCTGAGCACAGGGTTGACTCAGATGATGTCCTGCAAAACACTTCTTAATATTTATGGCTTTTCTGCACTTGCTTTGGTTTGTTATTTTTGCGATACAATGTTATTTTCTAACCTGTAAATCGTGCCTGGAGGTCACACGGGTCCCATGTTAGTAAGATGAAAATGAGTAAGAAAAATAAATGCATGCTGCAAGCTGGGACAGTCCTCAGAGCAGAGCAGCTGTGGGACCTCCAGCTCCGTGCAAACAACGAGAATGTTTGTTAACTGGGAAGGACCCAGTGGAAAGAAACACACCCTGCTGCCATGATTTGCAGAAGGTGTTGCTTTCTCATGGATCGTACTGCCAGCTTCTACAATTTTATTATGAATCTCATTGCATCCTTTTATTTCCTGAGTCATGAGCTGAGGTGAAAAACTCAATTTGGTAAGAAATAGGTTGGCAGCACTCATACCAGGAATGGCTTCAATGAACGGCACCTGTGAGATCCCCCAAATCTTTGAAATGTGTTTTTAAATGTGATGGATTTGGCTTGGTTGCGGTTTTTTTCTGTTTTGGTTTTCGTTTGTTTTGAAGGGGTTTGCCTAAATATTACCTTAATATTACATTAACTGAAAGTCCGCTGAGGATTTGGAGCTTTTAAAAAGTGACCCATTAATGCAAATCCAGCAGTAATTAAAGGCCATCAGCAAGGGAATATTAAACAAGGGGATATTAAACGACCAGTGAAGAAGGAATTGGATGCTTCCAGTAATTCCTACTGCTTGGAACTATAAGCACTTGCCTCTAGGTTTTGCCTCATTGTGCCAGGAGATGGGCAGCAGGTCCCCTCTCATGACAACCTCATTTCCAGACTGGGTGCAGCAGGGACATCGCCTTTCCCCAGAGATGCTCCGGATGCAGCTGGTTTTGGTGTCACCTCAGCCACCACTAGCATCAAGACACAGAGCGACCCACAACAATGTCACTGCATCAAATGCCTTTAAGATTTAAGCGAGTAAAGTCAGGATGCAAGAAGACTTGCTTAACACAGTCAATGTCATAATTAATATTGTCCGTTCAAAACAAATTTTTTGCAGCCTGGGTGTCACTGGGGTTTATTTAGCTGCCTCCAATGGCACCTACTCACCATGCAGAAACACAACCCTTCTTCAGAAAGTTTTGCAGAAGTTGTGGGGGGTTTTTTCCATGCAATTATTTTTCTCGCCCCCCCGTACAGTTCATTTTTTTTATCACCCAAGCATTCTTTGAGAGGCATAACATTCTGCTGAAACTGCGTCTTGGCCAGGATACTTCCAGCCCCGTATCCCCAAAACGCTGCTTCTGCAGCCCCGCTCAG